AGCAGCTACTGGCTACACAGGCTAAATGGAGCTTCCATGGTTGGAGGCATGCTACCTCCAAATATCCGTTGCTAGAGGCAAGAGCAAGGGGAGGCCGTGGCATTCCTTCCCCGCTTGCTGGTTTCCTGGTGGCATCTGCCTGGCTTCTGTGAGGATCAGGACAGACGACATGAGCCTTTGGTCTGACCCACTGGGGCTTTTTTATTTTCAGCCTAACACCATGTAACAGCAGCAGCAAAATCAAACCAATTCAGGCGTGCTAGCTGCCACTACGTGTCTGGGCTTACAGAAGAGTTTTTACATGGGACCCAAGAGCTATTGGGGGTGGGGGGTTTGCACAGGTAAGAAAAGGAGTTCTACAACTGGTCTGCCCTGGTATCACCCCGCTAACCACAGGAGGTGGGAACTCCCAGGGAGCTGGGAGACTCATCTACAGGCAGGCAGGCAGGCAGTTCTCCAAAGAGCTCAGGGAGGACAGAGCAGGGTGTGCCAGAAGGGATTACTTGAGAGGTAGGGCCAAATCCGCCACCTCCCCCAGCGCTCCCACCCGAGGGAAGCCAGGATGTGGCCTGCCAGCCCCAAACCTCCTCCCCTCCCCTCCCCTCCACAGGGGCAGCGGCCCAGCAGTGAGAGGAGTGGCAGACACAGGCAATGAGCTCATCCATGAGCATAAGGCCGGAATAACCCCTGGTGACTGGGGGGGGGGGCGCCGCCAAGAAGAGGTCACCGGATCTTGCCTTCTGTTCACACTGGCTGAGTGATGTGGGGAGGGAGCAGAACCCACCCTGGGCGCTCTTAGTCTTTTATTACTGTCTTTGTGCTCCTCAGTCGCAGCACCAGAAGCTCCGGAGAGCTTCCACCTTAGAATTAAAAGAATACGTCTTAGATCTGAAGTGAACAAACACATCAACCAGCAGGGGGCCAGGAGAAAACAACCCGCCACCATTAAAAACCAATAAGCACAAATCATTCTGAGGGTGGGTGAGCCACATTAGAAGGATAAGACAGCCATGGGGAGAAGGAGAAAAGACCTGCCTTCGAAAGAATTCAAGGAGAGAGAGAGAAAGGTTTTCACTTGGCACCCAAAATGAAACAGCCGCAGTGCCAGGCGGACAGCTACAGGGAGGGTCCCCAAAGGTGAGGCCTCAACCGAGAGAAGAGCCTGCCCAGCCGCACCCTCTGGGCCCCCAGGGGATGAGCAAACTCTCTCCTTCCTCCCACTTCCTGGCCTGGATACTCAGCCCCAGAGAGGCCCGCCTGGCAGCCCTCACACCCAAGAGGAAGGAAGGTGGGGGAGGCAAGCGCTCACCTTTTCGTGGAAACTCCTCGGTAGCTCCCCCGGTCTTCTGCTCATGCTGGCTTTGCAGCGGGGCCTTGTCGAACGGGTTGAGGTGGCCCTTTCGGAAACGGGCCAACTTCTTGTCATATTCCATATCAGTCCAACCTGCTGGAGCCACACAGAGGCCGGGGGTGAGGGGCCCGAGGCGCACGTGCCAGGGCAGGTTACGGGGGTGCCAATGGACTCCCGGAGCGGATGGTCAGAGCCTCAGTCCAGTCACCCCAGACACACACTCAGGCCAGAACCTCCGGGCCTGGCTTCTGCCCCGAGATGGCCTTTTTGTCCGGCAAGGGTTGTTTGTGCCCTGCAGTCACGGGAGGCAGAAAAGCCAGTCGGGCAGCCTCAGGTGACCAGGAGAGTCACCGAGGCACCCAGCCTCACGTGTGCCTCCCGTGCGATGCCAGGCCAAGCGACGATGATGTCACTGCCAGGGACTTCCTGGAAGTGCACAGAGAGAGCCACGTGAAGCTGCCTTGGGCTGAATCAGACCCCTGACTGTCCTCTGAGATCACGAATGTCCACCAGGGTTCCCTCTAAGCTGAGTGAGTGTGAGCTAGCTCACGGATTTTTAGCCTCCGGCGCACACATTTTTGTCTCAGAGCTCAGGAAGGAGGGCTCCAGAGCAAACTAATTCATGCAGCAGCCAAACCGCTCGCTCACAACTTTAATGCCAGCAGCCCACAAAGTAGAACTTTTGCTCACAAGACTCCACAGCTTAGAGGGAGCACTGGTGTCCACTCAGATGTCCAAGGTCTCGGGCCAAGGTCTTTTGCACACGACCAGAGCCTTTTCGCTGGAGAGGCCGGGGGTTGAACCTGGGACCTTCTGCAGGCCAAGCAGAGGCTCTTCCACTGAGCCATGACGGAGAACATATCCTGAGCCGACCTTTTGCCCCTCTGAGGTGCAGCGATCGAGGCCCAGAGGAGAGTCGGGCCCCAGGACAGGGCAACCTCCTCAGGAATTCTCCTTCCGCAAAGGTGCTTGGAGTCCCATGAAGAACGCTCAGCTCCCTCGGATGACTACTTCTGGTCAGGAAGGGTCCCTCGGTTGGAGGAGAAGGGAAGGGGAGAGGAGAAAGCCTACCGAGTGCGGTTTCTAAGGTGCACGGCCCTTCCCACTAGTCCCAGCAGGGCGCCAGGCTCTCCCCGGCTGAAGGCACCGCTGACTCTTGGCTTCTGCCTTGAAAATGACGTCCGGCAAGGAGCCGCTTCTGCTTTGGGGAGCTCTTCTGGGAGGCCCTCATCTGCCAGGGGACCCAGCTCCACCCCCTCCCTGGCCCGTGGGACGCGGCTTGGGACCCAGCGCCCTTAAAGCAGAAGGATGTGAAAAGGAAACCGGCTGGCCTTAAAAGAGCTTCCTCCTTGGGAAAGGGGGCTTGCTTAGAAACCCTCGGCAGGGGGTGAATCCACAAATGGGCGTCCGAGTATAGAGTAGGTGAAACCTTTTTTTCCCCCCCCCCCGGCTCTGTTTTCAAATGCTGCCCAGGCGCCCCTGCCCTGGAGTAACGGGTCTCTGTGCCCCCTGCCGCTGCTGGGCGGGCGCCCTGTGCCCTTCTGAGCGGGAGGGGGGTTGCGCCGGCGAGAAGGCCCCCTCCCCCGCGGGCTGGAGGGGGGGGTGCCTCTGGCCGGGGCGGAGGCGGGCTTGGCCTGGAGCTGCCGGGCCGGGGCTGCGAACCCAGCGCGGTCTGACAAGCCAGGCCGGTGTCCCGAGCCGACCTCCTTCCGCCCCTACGGCCTCGCGGCCGGTCCCGACGGGGCTGTGCCGCAGAAACGGAGCAGGAGGGGAGACGAGGGCCGAGGAAGCGCGCCGGGGTACCCCGGGGGCGGGCGAGCGAGGGAGGGTCCCGCCGGGCCGGGGGGAGGCGCCGACCCCCGCCCTGGCCGCGCCCCTTCCGCCCGCCTCCTCCTCCTCCTCTGCGCGGAGGCAGCCACGGCGGGCTGTGCAGCCCAGAGGCCCCGGCGAGGGGGGCGGGGCAGCCGGCCGCGCCAGTCCGGGAAGCGTCCCGCCCGCGGTGCGTCTCCACCGTCCCCGTCTCCCGCGCTCACCTGCCTGCCCATCGGGGAGA